AAGGGTCTAGGCCCGAAACGTCAGCCTTCCTGCTCCTCTGATGCTGCTTGGCCTGCTGTGTTCATCCAGCTCTACACCTTGTTATCTCAGATTCTCCAGCATCTGCAGTTCCTACTATCTCTGAACTTTTCCAGTAAGTTCTGTTTGTGTTTTATCATCATCATAGTGACAGCTCCCTAAGCCAACAGGAACCAAGTCAATGATTTCAATGGAGCGGAGGCTGAGGCTGCAGCTGCAGCTTTGGATAATCATCCAAATGCTACCATGCTGAAAGAGGCCATTCAGGCCATTGAGCCTGTGCATGGGGCAGGCTGATGTGACAAAAGGCCATGAGGACTTAACTGAGGGGCTGTGGAGAAAATGATTCCTCTTTTGGGAGAATCTCGAATGAGGGATCACTGTTTAAAAATAAAGGGGTCACCCATTTCAAACAGAGATGAGGGTCATGGGTCTTTCTCTGAGGATTGAGTGCCTTTGGAACTCCAATCCTGAAAACCAGAAGGAAGCAGAGCCCGGAATATTTTCAAGGCTGAAGTGGATAGTTTCTTGTCAAAGTAAAGGGGTGAAAGATTATCAGGGAAAGGCAGGAAAGTGAATACGTAGTTACAATCAGATTAGTCTTGATCTTACAGAATGGCAGGGCAAGCTCAAAGGGCCAAGAGGCCTACTCATGTTCTGGATTCCTGTGTTGGTATGGACATGGTCATTTCTAATCCAATCCAGGTTGGGAATAGTGTTTCACAGCCAAATCATGAAGACTGTCAGGAGCCAGTAATGACACTTCAATCTCCATCAGGATCTCACCATCAAATTCTGTATCCTCACCTAACACTATCACATCATCTCATTGGATGGACTTTAATGCACTCTCCAACATTAACCCTTTCAGAACCATTAGCTTCTAGAGCAACTGTCCCCAAAGCTTTTCTTCCACATAGTTAGCATTTGTATGTTTACGTACACAGCTGTGTTTACATTAATCATTACCCTAACTTCCAGCAAGTCCCTGAATTTATCAAGTTAGACACTTAGATGGAGTGGGTTGATTTGTCCTAGATGTTATTGAGCTTCTTGAGTGTTGTTGGGGCTGCAGTCATCCAGGCAAGTGGGGAGTATTCCATCACACTCCTGACTTGTGCCTTGTAGATGGTGGAGAAGCTCTGGGGAGTCAGGAGGTGAGTTTCTCACTGCAGCATTCCTAGCCTCTGACCTGTTCTTGTAGCCACAACCATCTTCCTATGTGTCAGGTATGACTCCAATAGCCAGAGAGTTTGTCCCTGATACCCATTGATTCCAGTTTTGTTAGGGCTCCTTGATGCCACACTTGGTTCAATGTAGCCTTGATGTCAAGGGCTGTGACTCTCACCTCACCTCTGGAATTTAGCTCTTTTGTCCATGTTTGAACCAAGGCTGTAATGAGGTCAGGAGCTGAGTGGCCCTGGTGGAACCCAAACTGGGTGTCACTGAGCAGGTTATTGCTGAGCACGTGCTGCTTGATAGCGCTGTTAGTGACACCTTCCATCACTTTACTGATGATCGAGAGGCAACTGGCCGGGTTGGATTTGTCCTTCTTTTTGTGTATAGGATATACTCGGGCAATTTTCCACATTGTCGGGTAGATACCAGAGTTGTAACTGTACTGGAACAGCTTGGCTAGGGGAGCGGCAAGTTCTGGAGCACAAGTCTTCAGTACTATTGCTGGGATGTTGTCAGGGCCGGTATCCTTTGCAGTATCCAGTGTCTCCAACTGTTTCTTGATATCACGTGGATTGAATCAAATTGGCTGAAAACTGGTATCTGTAATGCTGGGGACCACTGGAGGAGGCCGAGATGGATCATCCACTCAGCACTTCTGGCTGAAGATTACTGCAAAAGCTCAGCCTTATCTTTGCACTGATGTGCTGGGCTCTTCCATCATTGAGGATGGGGATATTTGTGGAGCCTCCTCCTCCAGTGAGTTGTTTAATTGTCTACCACCATTCATGACTGGATGTGGTAGGACTGCAGAGCTTAGATCTGATCCGTTGGTTGTGGGATCGCTTAGCTCTGTCTATCACTTGCTGCTTTTGCTGTTTGGCGTGCAAGTAGTCCTGTTTGGTGGCTTCACCAGGTTGATACCTCATCTTCAGGTATGCCTGATGCTGCTCCTGGCATGACCTCCTGCACTCTCCATTGAACCAGGGTTGATCCCCTGGCTTGATGGTAATGGTTGAGTGGGGGATATGCCGGGCCATGAGGTTACAGATTGTGCTGGAGTACAATTCTGCTGCATCATGGTGTACACCACATCTGCAGGCTCCCCAACTTCCACCTTACTTGTCACTTACTGAAAGAGCTCTAATAAATTAGTCAAAAGCCATTTTCCTTTTACAAAACCATATTGGATGTGCACAATCTTATTCTGAATGTTTATTCATTCACAGGATGAGGTTGTTGCTGGCTAGGCAGCATTCATTGCCCATCCTTAATTGCCCAGAGGACATTTAAGAGTAAACCACATTGCTGTGGGTCTGGAGTCACATGTAGGCCAGACCAGGTAAGGATGGCAGTTTCCTTCCCTAAAGGACATTAGTGACGCAGAGGATTTTTCCAACAATTGGCAATGGGTTGGCCAATCTGCCGTGGGGGATTTGAATCCACTACTCCACATCGTTTGCATGGGACTCCAGTAGACAAGCCCAGAGATAGGCCCACTGCCTACTCCTAGACTGAACACTGCACTGCCCGCTCCTCTCTCTCTCTCTCTGCCCTCCCTCTCTCTGCCCCCCCTCTCCTTCTCTGCACTCCTCTCTCACTGCCCCCCCCACTCTTTCTCTGCCCCCCGCTTTCTCTATCTCTCTCTGTCCCCCTCTCTCTCTCTGCCCATCCCTCTCCCCGATACGTACATTCCACACGTTTCTCCAAAATGCTGAGGCGGTTTGTAACTTCAGATTTGAGTTCGTTGATTTTGAAGGCCCTGGAAGAGAAGGTTCAGTGATTCACTGACGGTTTCTTATTCACAGTGATGGGGCTGAACAACCTTACTATCAAGAAATTTACCTGGAAAATTGCTCTGCAACTTGAGCTAGAACGTTCTGGAAAACTTCATCTTTCTCTGAAACAGGAAGTTGTAAATGGAGAATGTTTACAGTTATGGTGATCAACCCAGACTGGCTTAAATTCAAACTTTATATCATGTCAACAGTTTACTTCCTCTGTCCTCACTTTAAATGGAGCACTCCCCAAACCAACACCCTGAAATATTCTCCAAAACCACCCCCTCCACCTAAAACCTTCTCCATGGTTACCTCTCCCTCCAAAATACAGCTCCCAAATATAGTGACCCCCCATCTGCTGAAGATTCACTTCCAATGAGAAAGTAACATACACTCATTCAGGGTTACTTCAAAATTAACTAACTTGCTGGAGTTTTTTTGAAGAGGTAACAGAAAGGGTTGACAAGGGTAACACTGTTGATGTGGTGTACACAGATTTCCAGAGGCTTTTGATATAGTGCCACACAACAGACTTGTGAAGAAAGTTATAGGTTGTGGTGTAAATGGGGCATTGGCAACATGTATACAACATTGGCTGAGTGATCGCAAACAGACAGTAATGGTCAATGGATATTTTTCTGGTTGGAGGAAGGTTTGTAGTGGAGTTCCCTAGGAATGATTTGCTTTTCCTGATTAATACATTAACAATGTGGATCTTGGTGTGCGGGAATAATTTCAAAGTTTCAAATGACATTGAACTTGGAAAAATTGTAAACTGTGAGGAGGACAATGGAGGAGTAGGCAGACAGGGGCCAGATGATGTTCAATGCAGAGAAGTGTGAGGTGGTGCACTTTGGTAGGAAGAACTTTGAAAGATAATGTAAAACAGGCGGTACAATTCTAAAGGGGTTGCAGGAGCAGACGGACCTGGATGTACATGTGCACAGGTCATCGAAGGTAGCAGGATAGTGGGAGAGAGCAGTAAATACAATGTCCTCAGTTTTATTAAAGAGCTATAGAGTACAAGAGCAAAAAGGTGATGTTGAACTTGTACAAGACCCTTGTTAGACCTCACCTGGTGTATTGTGTACAGTTGTGGGTGCCACATTATAGGAAAGATATGAATGCATTGGAGAGAGTGCAGAACTGATGGACAAGAATGTTCCAGGGATGAGAAACTTCAGTGATGAGGATAAATTGAACAACATGGGATTGTTCTCCTTGGAGAGAAGGTTGAGAGGAGATCTGATTGAGGTTTGCAAAATCATACACAGGCTGGACAGAGTAACTAGGGAAAAGCTGCTCCTGTTTGTAAAAGGAACAAGAACAAGACAGTACAGGTTTAAAATGACATGCATAAGAAGCAAGAGGGATGAGAAAAATACCTTTTTCATAGAACATAGAACATTACAGCGCAGTACAGGCCTTTCGGCCCTCGATGTTGCGCCGACCTGTGAAACCAATCTGAAGCCCATCTAACCTACACTATTCCATTATCATCCATATGCTTATCCAATGACCATTTAAATGCCCTTAAAGTTGGCGAGTCTACTACTGTTGCAGGCAGGGCATTCCATGCCCTTACTACTCTCTGAGTAAAGAACCTACCTCTGACATCTGTCCTATATCTATCACCCCTCAATTTAAAGCTATGTCCCCTCGTGCTAGCCATCACCATCCGAGGAAAAAGGCTCTCGCTGTCCACCCTATCTAATCCTCTGATCATCTTGTATGTCTCTATTAAGTCACCTCTTAACCTTCTTCTCTCTAACGAAAACAGCCTCAAGTCCCTCAGCCTTTCCTCATAAGACCTTCCCTCAAACAGAGTGAGTAGTTAGGGAATGGAACATGCTGCTTGGAAATATGGTGGAAGCAGCTTCAATTGAGGCATTGAAGAGGGTATTGGATGATTATTTTAAATTGAATCGAGGAGCAGGAATGGGGGGGTGAAAGCAGGAACATGACACTAAGTCATTACGCTCACTGGATAGCCAATCTAGACGTGACAGGCTGAAATAGCCTCCTTCTGCACAACAATTCTGAGATTCAATGATTGCACACACTCACTTAGAGTAACAAATACTCAGACAGAGTAACATACACTTTCTCAGAGTAACACGTGCTCGCTCATTTCAGAATACACAGCAACAATCAGGAAGTAACTTATGGGTCTACCTACAGAGAGAATTGCTGCCACAAAGCTGATCATCTTACCAGATAACTGAGCACCAGTCAGAGCAACAACTCTGTATGGAGAGCTGAAACAGAGACACAGTTGATTCAGATTGAGACATGACGGAGACACATTCACATGTCATAAGGAACTTTAGCAAGAAATTATGGAGCTCGGTGACCAGTGGTGTTCCGCAGGGATCTGTTCTGGGACCTCCGCTCTTTGTGATCTTTATAAATGACTTGGATGAGGAAGTGGAAGGGTGGTTTAGTAAGTTTGCCGATGACACAAAGGTTGGTGGCATTGTGGACAGCGTGGAGGGCTATGGTAGGTTGCAATGGGACATTGACAGGATACAGAGCTGGGCAAAGAAGTGGCAGATGGAATTCAACCCAGAAAAGTGTGAAATGATTCATTTTGGAAGGTTGAATTTGAATTCAGAATACAGGGTTAATGGCAGGATTCTCGGCAGTGTGGAGGAACAGAGGGATCTTGGGGTCCACGTCCATAGATCCCTCAAAGTTGCTACCCAAGTTGATAGGAAATGTCAGAGGTAGGTTCTTCACACAGAAAGTGGTGGGCGTGTGGAAGGCGCTGCCGGCAGTGGTAGTGGAGTCAGATACCTTAGAGACTTTTAAGTGACTCTTGGATAGGCACATGGAGGATAGTAAAATGTAGGGTATGCAGGGTAGATTGATCTTAGCAGGATAATAGTTCAGCACAACATCGTGTGCCGAAGGGCCTGTACTGTGCTGTACTGTTCTATGTTCTACATTTGTCCTGACCAGAACAGAGTGGTGCTGGTGTGTTCCAGGTCACTCAGGGAGTCTGGCTATGGTCATGTGATAGATTGTGAGATGTAGACCCTCTGGTGTTCTTGCCCTCCCATGGCTGAGCGGGAATTTCTCCTGTTTTTACAGTCAGCCATTGGGAGGAATTACAAACAAACACCCAGCCTGTTAGGCTGTTAGACTATTAGACTGAATAAAAACCAAAAGAACTGCGGATGCTGTAAATCAGAAACTAAAACAGAAATTGCTGGAAAAGCTCAGCAGGTCTGACAATGTCAGTGGAAACCAAACTCAAATGCCATCACAAACTGCTGATTTGACTTTAAGATTCTGTAGGTTAGTCAGTGAGGAATGCTTCTATTATATGGCTTGTGTTTGTGGTCACTGCAGGGTGTGGGCGTGGGGTTGGGGTTAAGTTGATATGTGCAAACTGGAGTTTTAAATTGACGACCATTCTCAAAAGTTAATCATCAGCCTGTGCTCCAATTTCTGATCAATCTCCATCACTTGGTGAAGCTCGGGATTCTGAGTCTTGTCTCTATATTTCAGGACAATGTCTGTGGAGAGATGGAGGGCAGACGGTGCCAGACCTGCTGAGCTTTTCCAGCAATTTCTGTTTTTGAGGCTGTTAGACTGACCTTCCTGAACTGAGGTTGAATGGTTCAAGGAAGTCAGAGTGAGATTATTCAGTGAGTGATGAGGAATTACAAAAGGCTCAGGACAGAGGTGGACACTTGCCTGGCTGTATTTGTTGGCATTGTTGGATCAATAGAGATGATCGCATTGTCGGAATCCAGCAGAGAAATCGCACAGCTCCTGAAATATAGAGACAAGACTCAGAATCCCGAGCTTCACCAAGTGATGGAGATTGAACAGAAATTGGAGCACAGGCTGATGATAAACTTTTGAGAATGGTCGTTAATTTAAAACTCCAGTTTGCACATATCAACTTAACCCTAACCCCACACCCACACCCTGCAGTGACCACAAACACAACCCATATAATAGAAGCATTCCTCACTGACTAACCTACAGAATCTTAAAGTCAAATCAGCAGTTTGTGATGGCATTTGAGTTTGGTTTCCACTAGGGTATAACATAGCCCCAGTGCAACCAGCAGCAGACTGCTAGTCTGGTCTTCTGGAGAGGAACAAGTGTATGCCCAGAAATGTAACCATCCCTGAATTCACCCACTAGCAATATCCTGGGGGTTACCATTGACCAGAAACTCAACTGGACTCACCACATAAACACAGTGGCTACACAGGTCAGAAGCTAGGAATACTGCAGTGAATAACTCATCTCCTGACTCCTCAAAGCCTGTCCACGAGGTACGAGTCAGGAGTGTGATGGAATACTCCCCACTTGCCTGGATGGGTTCAGCTCCAACAACACTCAAGAAGCTTGACACCATCCAGGACAAAGCAGCTCCCGCTTGATTGGTACCACATCCACAAACATCCACTCCCTCCACCACCGACGCTCAGTAGCAGCAGTGTGTACTATCTGCAAGATGCCCTGCAGAAATTCACCAAAGATCCTCAGACAGCATGTTCCAAACTTATGACCACTTCTATCTAGAAGGACAAGGGCAGCAGATACATGGGAACACCAACCCTGCAAGTTACCCTCGAAGCCACCTCCCCATTTCTGAAGAAGGATCCCGACCCGAAACGTCAACTTTCCTGCTCTGATGCTGCCTGACCGGCTATGTTCCTCCAGCTCCACACTGTTATCTCCACAATACAGCCTATTTTAGCATCATCCACAAACTTACTAATCATGCCTTGTACATTCTCATCCAAATCATTGAAATAGATAACAATAAGCAATGGGCCCAGCACCGACCTCTGAGGCACACCACTAGTCACAGCCTCCAGTCTGACCAGCATCCTTCCACTATTACTCTCTGTTTCCTACCATCAAGCCAATTGCGTATCCAATTTGCTAACTCTCCCTGGATTCCACATGATCTAACCTTCCTGAGCAGCCTGCCATGTGGAACCTTATCAAAGGTCTTACTGAAATCCATATAGACTATGTCTTTTGCCCTGCCCTCAACCACCTTCCTGGTCACTTCATCAAAGAACTCAAAAAAATTTTGAAGCATGATCTCCCATGCATGAAGCCACGCTGACTACTCCTAATCAAACCCTGTCTTTCTAAATGCACGTATATCTTATCCCTCAATCTTCTCAAGTAACTTACCTACTGCAGATGTTAAGCTTACTGGTCTATAATTCCCAGGTTTTTCTTTGCAGCCCTTCTTGAACAAGGTCATAACATTCGCTACCCTCCAGTCTTCCAGGACCTCACCTGTGGCTAATGATGATGTAAATATATCAGCCAGGACCCCCGCAATTTCTTTTCTAGCCTCTTGCAGGGTTCTTGGATAAAGCTGGTCAGGACCAGGAGATTTATCCACCTTGGTACATTCCAATACTTCCAGCACCTCTTCTACAGTGACATGGACTGTCCCCAAGATATCACCATTAACTTCCCCAAGTTTCCGAGTCTTCATGTCTTTCTCCACGGTAGAACACAGAGGAGAAATATTTACTAAGGACCTCGCCTATCTCCTGCGGTTCCACACATACATGTCCACCTTGGTCCTTGAGGGGCCCTATTCTCTAGTTATTCTTTTTCCTTTAATATACTTAAAGAATCTCTTTGGATTCACCCTAATCGTCTCAGCCAAAGTTATCTCATGCCCCCTGTTAGCCCTCCTGATTTCCTTCTTCAATAAACTCGTGTATCCCCTATACACCTCAAGGGATTCCCTTGATCTCAGCTGCCTGTACCTGAGCCATGCCTCTTTCTTTTTCCTGATCTAAGCCTTAATATCTCTTGTCATCCAGGGTTCCCTGCCAACCTTGCCCTTCAGCCTCACAGGAACATATAGACCTTGAACTCCAGCTATCACACTTTTAAAGGCCTCCCACTTGCCAGAGGTTTCTTTGCCTGCAAACAAGCTACTCCAATCAAGCCCTGCAAGATCCTGTCTAATTCCATCAAAATTGGCCTGCCCCTATTTAGAACTTGAACCTGTGGACTGGTTTTGTCCTTTTCCATAACTATTTTAAGTTAATAGAACTAGGGTCACTGGTCCCAAAAGTGTTCCCCCATCACCTCAGTCACCTGTCCTGCCCTATTTCCCAAACAGTAGGTCAAGTTTTGCCCCTTCCCAAGTAGGACTCTCTATATACTGCATAAGGAAATTTTCATGAACAGATTTAGTAAATTCCACCCCACCTAATCCCTTAACACTATGGCAGTCCCAGTCTATGTTAGGAAAATTAAAATTCCCTACTATGACAACTCTATTGCTCCTGCAAGTCTCTGCAATCTCCCTGCATAACATACATTGAAGGACAGCAGGTATTTATATCCCCTCAGTGCAATGTCACTATGGTTGGAGGGGCTTTCCAATTATACCCTCATTCCAACAACAATTTGACTCAGGCTGTAAAAGACTCACATTTACTTGGCACCTTTCACAACCTCAGGAGCACTGCTGCCTCACAGCGCCAGGGACCTGGGTTCAATCCCACCTTTGGGCAACTGTCTGTGTGGAGTTTGCACGTTCTCCCCGGGTCTGCGTGGGTTTCCTCCGGGTGCTCCAGTTTCCTCCCACAGTCCAAAGATGTGCAGGGTAGGTGGACTGGCCATGCTAGATTGCCCCTAATGCCCAGGGATGTTTAGGTTAGGTGGGTTAGACATGGGAAATGCAGGGGTAGGGGAATGATCTGGGTGGGATGCTCTTCAGGGGGGCGGTGTGGGCTTGTTGGGCTGAATGGCCTGTTTTTGTGCTGTAGGGATTCTATGATTTGTTCCTCCAATTCCTGTAGACTATTTGGGGGCCTATAGTACAACCCCAATCAGATCACCATCTCCTTATTTCTTAGCTCCACCCACAAAGTTAGTCCTGTTAGTCAAAAATAAAACTCCCCCTCCCCTCTTTCCTCCACCTCTGTCCTGCCTGAAACACTTGTACCCTGGCACATTAAGCTGCCAGTCTCATCCCTCCTTTAGCCATATTTATGTAATGGCTATAATATCCCAGCCCCACGTACCTATCCACACCCTGAGTTTATCAGCCTTACCTGTCAGCTCTCTTGCATTGAAATAGATGCAATTTAATCCAACAGGCATTCCTCATTCCCTGTCCTGTTCCAGCCTGACCTGTCTCTTTAACTTTCTATTTCTGATTACTTATCTCCTTCCACCCTCACACTTGCCTCTCTGATGTTGAGTACCAAACCACCCCCCCTGCCAATTTAGTTTAAATCCTCCC